TGGATGTCTATTTTTTTAGCAACACAAATGTAGTTTAGAAATCTTTATTTTAGAAATTTTTTTCTGTAATTAAATTTTTTATTGTATTTTAAAATTTCTACTATGATATTATATAAATAAATAAATAAATAAAAAAAAAAAAAAATTTTTAACAATATGTAGATTATTCAAAATGCTTTTGGTTGCTTTCTTTTGTTAGCTAAATTTAATTAATGCTTTTTAAAAAATCACAAAAATAAAACATATTTTAAAATGTATAAAAAATAAAAAAAAATTTTTATTAAATTGTATTGATCATCACCATATTTAAAGATGTCCACCATGCTAAAAAATTAAAAAAAAAATTATATGAGACTATGTAGAACCAACATATCACAAAATTATTTAATAGTCACCTGTTACCTTTAACTAATCAAAATCATAAAATTTAATTAATCCTAAATCAGTCTAAAATTAAAACAAATAAGGTAAATGCAAAAATGGGCTGTTTCTATTGTCTACACCCTATATACTCAAACCATATAGCTTTAACAAATTTTAAACCCTTAAGTTTCAGGATTCACTTTTACTAAAACTCACTTATAAGTGTTTTATATATACAATATACCTAACTAAAATTAAATCTTCATGCATGCATTAAATAATCATTCTAGTCAAGTGTTACTTTTGCATTCAGATATATAAAGTAGCTAATCCAGACTAGGGTTGTTAATTGAGTGTATCATATTCTAAAACACTTCAGTTTAAATCTAAACTAGGCTAAAGTAAGTTGCAAAAATTTTAAATAAAATATTCAACCCAGTTTTCTAAACTGAAAACCAAACTAAAGCATTCTATTAGAACTTAGTATACCAAGCTGGTTAGGTTAAACCTAATTTTAAGCCAACCTAACCTAACCAATCAAATCCATTAACAACCCTAGTTGCTATTTCAGATGTACATATACTGTACATTGTCTCAAAAACTGGCTAATCAATTGGAGTGCTATGTTTTAAGTAAAAATGTTCTACTCCAAAAAAACCCATTAAACTTTAAATCTAACCCGTAATACTAACCTTAGCGAGAAAAAAATTTCATATATTATTAATTCTTGCCCTAACCATTAAAAATTAAGGCTACAGCAAATATTACCTCAACTTGTTCTTAATCGTACTGGTGGAATAAACTTTTTAATCGGACAAAACTGACAGATTATCTTCTTGCATCCAAATGTGAAATTCATTGAATAATAATATATTATTAGTCTATAAGATTACTATTCAATACATTTTTTTTTTATCGCACTATTTTCATTTTTCATATAATTATTCACGATCATTGCATCTAACTCATAATAATATGGTATCTTGGTAACTGATTTAGGGTCCAAATCGATCACGTTAACTTTGTACTTTAAAAAATCTTTATCATTGGGAAAGGGAATAAATTTAACTTGTTCTTCAAAAATTTGACTAAAAATTCATGTATTTAGAACTTAAATTGCGAATAATTTAAACCGAATTATAATAATAGACAATCAAGTTACCTGATATCATGTGGGACTTTTGTTTCATAATTAAAAAAAGATCTCTGGAATGTGAAAATTATTGAGCAATCTTTTAACGTAGTTGACATTAAAAACTCGTAAATTCGTTGTCGCATTTGTGCATCATCCATACTTAAATTTAATGCTATAAAAATAATAATGGATCATGATTACAATATTAGCATAAAATATATATATATAAAGATAAATTACGAACCGTCGGGACTGTCAGGACTCTTAATCCTTCGTTCATATTCTTTCATGATCAATTGCCATTCTTCTATTGTTGGTTCATGTAAATTCGATTGCAGTTTCAAAAATAACTTGTATATGCCTTCTATATCCAATTCATCCAATGTTTTTTGAAGCTTTTTGAGTCGTTTAAATAAAATTTGCTCTTCGAGAATAATGCGCGATAATAGCACGATCAACAAAGTTTTTATATCAACATTTCGACTAAGCATAAAAACGAAAGAAATAGTATCTTTTATAGATATAATGCGTATTTTTTTAATGACTATAGATTACGTACTATTTTTTGGGTGGACCTGTTGAAGATTTATTAATATTGAAAAATTCGTATAATTGTGTGGGCCAATCTTCCTAAAGTAAAAATAAGTTAATATTTTGTGATTGATGAGTATATATATTATTAAACCAAACCTGTTCAATATGTATTTGTACGCCTTGCACAAACAATTTTAAATTATTGTTTGGGCTAAATAATAGCCCTTCAATCGCATGTTTCAATCTTACTTCATCTAAAGAAAACAAATCTAGCGGACAATACTTTGATGAAATTTTCTTGACATATTTGTGCATACAAAATCGGCAGGATTGAAATTTTTCAGGATTTTCAGGATTTATGAAAGGAGATGATGGCAAAAATGCCCATTTTGGCTTACAAAATAAAGTAATAATATAATCAGATAAAAAAAAAGCATTAGTCATAGGATGAAATAATAATAAAAGAAATAAAAGGGCATAAAACACCTTAAGTTCAATGGATAGTGTAAGATTCGCATCAGATATAAATCTTGTATGATCAAGTGTTAATATACCATAGTGTTGATTGAAATCAATATCTTTATGGGTTCGATCGGTGGGACGCATAGGATAGATAGCTTTTGACAGCGCCTTTAGAAACGTTTGAGGAACTTTTAATAATATCTATAAATAATAAAAAGGTTATATTGGTACATAAACTGATGAACAGCTTTTGACGACACATAGAAAATAAATATTCGTGCATAAACATACTGATTTACTAATATATTCATCACCAAGCAGATGCCCAATGACAGAGGAAGCGTATAAATTTGTAAAATCATGGCTTTCGAACGAATCAGCATTGTCAATATTGGCATCTTGATTACTAATCGTTGTCTTTCTAAGTCGAAGAACCGTTCCAAACTGTCATGTGAAAGCGGTCGAGTAAAGTAGATGAATTTTTTGGAATTTTTTGTTAAACAAATTGATGAAATTCAGTCAACGTTCAGGCCCAGTCAGTCAAAATATCACACTGAGATACCTCTTACAAGGATCACTTGAGTGCTGTTGAACCTCCGAAAGCCGATCTTGTTAACCCGATGGCCTGTTAAATCTTATAAGCCTGTTTCTGGTATATAAATCCAAATTTGATAGTCTTCCAATATGGGTATGTCATAAGTGGGAATGGAAATTTAAGTGGATTTGGAATTTCCTAATTAAATTGGGATTAGAGTTAAGGTGTATATGATAACATCAACCCCAAAATACTTGTTTTATATAAAAAAATTCCAAATCCACTTAAATCTCGTTTATTCCGTTTCCACCTAAAACAGGTATAAAACTTGACCACCATGAATATCGGTTTTAAGAGGTTCAACAGTATAATGGTTAACGACATACAAATCTCTCATTTTTCCCAACAAATATCAAGACGATATTTGCGTTTCCTTCTGTTTTGTATTTCCACAAAATTGCATGATAAAGTTCCGGGATAACTTCAGTGAGTGGCATAAATAATTAACGTTCACGTTATCGTTAAGCAAAAAATTTTTACATATATCAATGTTTGATCTACGTGCGTATCTCGATCTGTTAACAGTCACAATTTATATTTTCAGTAGAGATCGTTGTTTATATCGCGCCATCAAATTAAAAATCAAGCTAATCGTATGGCGCAAGCAGCCTAAAGACATCCAATTATAAGTCACTAGCACGCGGTGTAACATAATTTAGCCAATAGCAATACAGAATTATAGTGTAACAAAAACTTATTACACAATAATTACGTATTTTTCTTTTTTTATTGCATACCATAATCAGCTATAATTGATGATTACTAAATGGTCGAATGTAATCAGTGTACGTAGCATTTGGGCTATGTCCAATTTGGACATGGTCTAATCCAAATAGTGTCCATGACCATATTTCGTATATTGATCATTGTTACAGATTTCCAATATGTTGCATGGAATTAAGGTAATCAATTTGGGTGCCCTAATTTCCCCCACCACTTCACTATCGGAGAACTATAAAATTGATTAATAACACAGATAATCCGATATGTGAATAATTAGTAGAACCAATCATAAGTGGTTGGGGAAATTAGTAAATTCAATCAATTTATGGTTTCATTACGGCGCATTCGTAAACTACAAATTTTTGAAAAAGTTTGACTACTGATTATAGTTGCAGACATTTAGAGAGTCAAAGGTAGTTATTTTTATATGTCACCCTTTTCGTCATATAAAATTCATATCAATATATAATTGTATACGTCATATTAAATACGTCACGTCAATACGTTATAGTAAATGTTAATTGCAACCCGAAAATGTGTACCAGGTTGCTGTTCCGGTGATTATGTAATAGTCCGGAATGAATATCCGAAAAATTTTGAAGTTTGGTTTAACACAGTTAATTTTACATATTTCTTTTTCATTGACTATGTACTACTTCGCACAAATATTACAACACATGACATTTAAAAACCTTCACATTATTGTCAATTTTGTTTTCTCATGTTAATGTTTTTCAATAAGTTTTATACATTGTTATTTTTTTGAAATTATTTCTGTGTTCATTATTATCTTTTTCATATTATATAATAATCTTTAATATTTTTTAAAATTTGCTTAACCAATATAAAGTGTCTTCTTTACTGTTAAGATTTATATATAAATCTACATTAAACAATTAAATTTTTTTTTTTTATTAATTTAAGTTCAGTATAATTTTTTATTTTATTAAGTATTACCATTAGTTACTATATAAAATAATTGAAGTTTTTTTTAAGAACTTGATCTTTAAAATAAATAATATCTAAAAGTATTGTATAGAGAGTCAAGGACTATTTATAAAAAAATACAAAATGCAAAAGAATATTATATATGAGAGTTTTGTATAAAGATAATCATATTATTATATAAATAACAAGAATATATATTATAAAAATATTTTTAAGAATTATTAAATAAATCTCTAAAATGAATTTAATGAACTTTTTTATAAATATATTGAATAGTTTTTTTAATTAGTTTAATATATTTATAAACTTTAAAAAATACTTATAGAAAGTGTAGTGACCTAGTGAAGTAGTCATTGTCAACCCTCCAAGTAATAGGTTGGGTGTTCAAATCTTATCGATAATAAAAATTTGAATAATCACCTATGTAATATTTATATTATGGCAATTGTTACTAACAATTGGGTTAGGATACCTGTAATAGTAGTTACACCAGTATGACTGGCAGGTCATGGTGTATTTGTATAATAATTATGTGACATTGTCCTTTGAAATAAGGTCTGTGATTACACAAAAGAATGCAAACTGGCAATTAGACAATACAAATACTAGATAAGTTCTTGTGACTATGTAAATCTATTAAAATTAGGTAATAAGAGATCTATTTGAAAAGATCTGAATAGAGAAATAACTGGATCTTTGATGACCTTACTGTAAAGCTAGACTAGAAAAATGGATATCAAGATTATAATACCTGGTCATAGTAGCTGGATGGCCAAGAACCTCCAGGTTGGGAAGCTTTAAGGTACCACTAATCAGACTGTCAGAATGAACTAAAAGAAAAGAATATCAGGCCAATTTGATATATCAATAAACTGGATATAGTTCTATACAGGTTATCTGAATTGGAAGTTTGGTAAAAAGACAAGTAAAAAGACAAAGGTATACTAAAGTATCGAGATTATGTTGTAAAGTAGATACTGGAATTTGAGTGAACTCTACAAGGACATAGTGGTTTAATGATTAAGCTCTGATTGCAAGTGTTGGTTCTGCCATAGCAATACCTAAGTCAGCTATAAAAATAGGTACAAAAGGCTCTAAAGAGTTTACTTTAAAGATAAAATAGTCCTAAGGTTGAAATGATGATTTGGGTATTAGATATGATATAGTGAAGTTAACAGGTTTGCAGGTTCAGAGGGTTTAAAGTAAAATATCTAAGCAGAAGTGTTAGGTATGACAATTGGTAGAGAACCTTTAAATAGACTTCTTAAATAGGTAATATGAAAAAGTTATATGTATAGTCAATTATATGCTCTTTTTGTAGTAGTTCACTGAACTATATTTACTATTGTTAAATAAAGTTAAAAGATTCAAGAAGTCATCTTAACACTAAAAAAAAAAATACTTATAGTAATAAATTTTTTTAATTTATTAGACTGTTAAATTAATACATTTATTAATTAAACAAAAAGAATCTAATATTATAGATATGTGTTTAAATTATTTATGAAAAAAAATAATTTTAACAAATATTGGTCGTTACATTAAGTGTGATATACCAACTTGATACATTTGAATTAAAATATAATTACACAAAATTTTACATATTAACTTGTAATTAAATAAAT